GTTTGTACCTCATTCAGATAAGCCACAGGGAAGACTACTGTCCTTACATTTCCCGTTTGACTGAAAGAGAATGACATGATAATCTTTAACTATGATGTAATGAAAAATAGCAACTTGGAAAACACAATATAATATACTTGTGTAATATAAATATACTTATTGTAAATTCATACTATCTGTATAATAATAATAATAACAACAATAACAATGGATTTATATAGCGCTTTTCAAGGCACCCAAAGCGCTTTACAATGCCACTATTCAGTCACTCTCGCATTCACACACTGGTGGAGGCAGCTACAGTTGTAGCCACAGCTGCCCTGGGGTAGATTGACAGAAGCGAGGCTGCCATATCGCGCCATTGGCCCCTCTGGCCAACACCAGTAGGCGGTAGGGTAAAGTGTCTTGCCCAAGGACACAACGACCAGGACAGAGAGCCCGGGGACCGAACCGGCGACCTTCTGGTTACAGATACGCTTCCCAACCCCCTGAGCCACGGTCGCCCCATAAATAAAGCTTGATTACGTATTAATCTCACACCATAAATTATGTGGAGAGTTACATAATTTATTTTTGGACTTCAAGCTCTGTCTCTAGCACCTTTAATTTGAAACGGAATAACAGATATAACATAAAAGTGCCATATCTGGGCTTGTTGGCATCAAAAGAACTGCACAAACTTTCCTTTCAAAGTTCAATATTGCACAAAAGAGCCGACGCTTGGCTAGGGATTCAATTTGATAAGATTTTACTGATATCAGCCCCAACATCAGTTCTGTTTATAAGTTGGATTCTATATTTACTCCCTTAGGCCCCAGAGACAGGGGGCAGCCTCTCTCTGACCAAAGTATTCACCATTGTGAGTGCTTTTGCTGCTAGCAGATAGCAGCAGTTGCCTGTAGTTTGCACTCGTGTGCAAAACACTCACCAAATACTTGCTAAGTGGTAGTGAAATTAGAAACAGTGTGAGTTAGCACGGTTAGCTCATCTACGCGTTAGTACTGTATAGCCCCGCGCACGGGGCGATCCGCGCTAACTCGCAAACTGAGATTTGCCACGTTATTGCAGTTATGGTGTTAACGTCATTTTAACAAGATTCAATCAATCAATCAAAATTTATTTATATAGCACATTTTTAAGACCGAAGTACACCAAAGTGCTTTCCATTAAAATCGCAGTACAAATAAAATCA